AATTATGAGATTTTATTGCACCAAAAACAATAATGAAGATTGAGAAATATTACAGTGATTATAAAAGCTAGTAATTATTTTTCTCACCCTATTTTCATACTATAAAATTGTAGAGAATATCCAAGTATATATAGGAAACTATGTAGGGCGACGCCCAAACCGTAATAGATAATGAGTTGTAGTTGAAGTAGAATATCAAAAACGTGTTAAAAATCGTAAAGGGTCTAGGCCGAATAATCCTGTTGTGTGAGCGATAATATAAGCTAGCAATAGGTTCGTCGCTCGAGCACTGGTGGGCGATAGACGAGTGACCAAGTCTCGAGAGAAAACTTGCAGGTGTTACTTGAGCGACCAACTAGCGGTAGGCTAGCGAAAATACGATACTTTTCTTTTCGGCCTATAATTTCAACATCTCCAAATCCAATACAAATTCCAACTCCCAATAGAGCTTTCAGATATAATTTCAATTTGAATAAGACTCCAATAGTATTTCAAATTGAATTCCTTTTAACGCATACTTCAATTAGAATTCTTCAATTATTTCAACAAGGAATTCGGGTTACACCCAAATTCTAACATCTTTCATGACGAATATTGCTTAATAAGTATCGGATTAAAATGTGTCTACACATTCATTGTACAATGATGAAGATATCCTCAATACTTTTATCTCAATACTAAAATGGAGAATAACACCAACGTAACATAATAAGTAAACTAAGGTACTCGTACAAATAGAAGATACAATGTTATATAATTCTACAAGATCATATACCCATACAAACCTTAAAACAAATATTCAATATAGGAACAATCAAACAAACATTCACACCCTATCCATTCAAAATCATACCACAAACAAATACCTTTTAACTACAAATTAAACTGATGTAGGCTATTCTTGAGGACATACTCAGAAATGATCTTATTCGTTCTCTCTGTTGGACGGAAAGAATCCCACAATACATATTCATTTGCATCTGAACACGTAAATGGATTCAGTTGATCACACGTGTATCCCACCTCAAACATTCCTGTGGAACAACATGCCACTGCTGCTACATCAAATCCTGTCATACATAAATTGTCAAGATTTTTAAGACAACGTAATTTTTCTTTTTCTTTTCTAAAAAAGAGCGAATATATCATAAAAATACAGATTTATTAAGTGTTAAGAGACACGACCAACCATGTCAAGATTTTTTTATGTGTAATATAATAGGTCTTTCTTCGATGATATTTTAAGTAATCATAAACGTAAGCTATTTCAAATTATTTTATAGGAAGTCAAGTCTTAAATTTAAGATTGATTAGATGAATTGTTTCCTGATACTTTTTTGATAAAGTGAACAGATAGAAATTAAAATATTCGAAATTTTGTACAAGTACTTGCTAGCATTATCATTCTTTTTAATTGATTAATAAAGTTTTGGCAAGCATATATTATTACAGATTAGATGTGTATCTATTATTCCTTTAGCGTGACACTAATATTTATTCACTTGACAATTTTTTTGGTTAAAATTTTATAATCAATGCCACCCTAGACCATCAGAATGCTATCCTAGCTCTGCCACTTCTAATGAATTAATTATCCTGTGAAACTAATAATTATGTCATTTATTGTAATTTATTTCTCCTGATTTTAACTTGAAAATTGCAGATATAAACAATTAATAGCGTCTACAAAGCACATTTTGACAGCATACTGACAACCTCATTTCATAAAAAAGTCACCAAAGTAATGAATTGAAAATCAGTATTAAGCTAATCAATATATCATTCTATAATTATGTCTAGTGTTTTACACCATCCAGCTCCAAATTTATCGGGACCAAGACTTGAAGCGGTTAAGCTTAAAAGTTTAATTATAGTAAATAAGTAAGTTTCAAAATAAATAATTTTTGCCGATAAAAATGAGAAGTTAATTATTTTGGCCTTAATGTAAAAGTTACTTTCAAAATTTCAAATCACACATCTTTTTGTTTACCTTTTAAAAGTACATGCTTCGAAATAAAAAGAAGCTTACATGTTAATTTTACTTATTTTTATGCTTTGCAAACATGCTCTTAGTTTGTTGTTGTTGTTTTACTCAAAGTGGCTGATAATAAACAATCATCACTATTTAATAATGTTATGTAGCAATGTTAGCACTAGTCTAGATGATAGCTGAGATGCTTTTTTGATGCATTGAACAATCACCCACCCCTAGTGTTAAATAGTATTACTTATACAAAACAAGTTAGAAAAACTTACCAAATGAAATTCAGTGCCACTGTGTTGTTTCCATCGTTGCATCGCTCTCCATATCCATTGAAGAAATTTGTTGTCCTCTCCAATGGCAGACACCCCATTGGAGGTATACCTGTTAAGGACATTTTTCTTGCTCCTAAACCATATATTTCCTTTATAAAATGTTCTGCAATTCCTATGAGGAAGACCTGGTACTGATCCATGCTGTACTGGGATTGTCTATTTGGAAGTGCATAATAATTTTCTAGAAAGTCATTTGTTCACATGCTAATCAAATATAAGGCCTCACTGATTATGAACTGTTATATCTTGTGATGAAATCAGATGAACAAGAACTCAAACAGATTCACGAATATCACTAGCATAAGGGATTAATATGATTTGGGCTTATAAATTTACATTATACCCTTCAGTACAATAATGAAACAACCACAAAACTCAAACCCTAGAAGTGAATGAACAAAACGCAGCTACTACAATTGACACAAGATCAACACACTAATCTCAACCAAAGCCCTTAAGCGAAGAATCACGCAGACTCAAATCCCCCATATTTACACCCTAAACCCAGAAGTTTTAGGTAAAACACAGTAGGGAAAACAAAGGGAATGGGAGAAGACGAACATAAAGAAAATACCAGAAGCTTCTCGCAAAAACCAGATGAAAAACACTAATTAGAGCAACCACTCAGCTGGTATATATACAAGTTTCCATCACCATGGATCTTAGCAGTTAATCTAACGGTCCAGAGCAACATACGCGTTATCCACATTGGGCTCAGATCAATATTGCATTATCGGGCAATGGACAATTAATTCTGACAAGTGGGCTTAGCCCAGTTGTCATCATATCCCAATGGACTGGAATTACTTAAATTTGGCATCACACCCCATCAAATCTCCCATTTGATGCCAATGTTAAAAGCAAACCAAAGTTTGGCAAATGGCACTCCAGAACACTTTTAGTTCTCCATTATCATCAGCACTAAGTGAATAATTCCTGCACCAACACAAAGAATACCTAGTATCAATTCTTAAAATTTGCAAACAAGATTTAAATTTGTTGAGATGAAGTACCTTAGTTCCCATATCAGCTGGATTAAACCGTGTTGGGATTTTTTCAAGTAATATTGATTCCTTATGAATTATATCTTTAATGCAGTGCATTCTAACATCTATGTGTTTAGTCATTTCATGAAAAATTGGGGTTTCACACAAATGAATGGTACTTTTACTATCAGAACAAAAAACAACATGCTTTTGCAATTCATTTAATTCACACAACAAGCCTTTAAGCTATAAACACTCTTTAATAGTTTCAGTAGCAACCTCATATTCATAGTAGATAATGCAACATTAGACTTCAATTGAGACTTCCAACTTATGCAAGTATCACACAAAGTAAACATATAGGCAGTTGTTGATTTCCTATTATCTCTATTTCCAGCATAATCAGAATCCGCATATCCTCTCAAAATAACTATCTATTTACAGGATTTAAAATAGAAACCTAAATCAGCATATCCTTTCAAGTATCTTAGTAGCCATTTTAAAGCAGTCAAGTATTCAAGACTAGGATTTGCCATAAATATACTCAAAATACTTATAGCATGGGCAACATCAGGTTTGGTATACACCATATTATACATGACCAACCTAACAGCATTACCATAAGACACCTTTTGCATGTATTTAATATCAAATTCATCATGAGGACATTGATCTTTACTCAATTTAAAATGACAAGCAAGAGGCAAAGTAAAATACTTGGATTCATGCATAGAAAACTTCGATAATGCATTTTTCACATAATCACATTGTGCTAAAAGAAGAGATTGATGTGATCTATTTTCTTTAATTTTCATTCCTAAAATTCTCTTAGCATGACCCAAGTCTTTCATTTCAAATTCAACACTTAAAGCTCTTTTAGTGTCATTAACATCACTTATATTTTGTCCTCTCAACAGTATATCATCAATATACCAGAGGAGATAAACAATCACAAAATTATTATTATCATTCCTTTTAAAATACAAACAATGATCAAAAGAACTTATAAAGCGAATAGAGGACACAAAATTGTCAAATATCTTGTACCATTGCTTATGTGATTGTTTTAGCCCATACAAGGGCCTTTTCAAAAGACCACTAGTTGGCTTTAAACCTAAGAGGCTGTTTAGAAGAATTTCCCTCCTTAATGCTATATATCCACTTACACTCTACTAAAGACTTATTATCAGGCTTGAGTACAAGCTCCCAAGTATTATTTTTTAGCAATGACTTCATTTCTTCGTCCATAGCTTATAGCCATTCTTTTGACTGTTGACTACTAAGGGCTTCTTCATAAAATTTAGGCTCTTTAAAAGCCAAATCTTGATATGATAGAACAACAAAGGATAGATAATCACTCATCCTACTAGGCTCCCTAATCTTCCTTCTAGTTCTATCCTTGGCTAGTTGATAATCACTCAAAAGATTATCCAATTCACCTACAGAATCATGTCCACTGCATTCAATAGGTTCCTGTGAACCTGTAATTTCATCACTTTCTCCACTAATTCCATTTTTAGCCTGCTCATCATTAACATGATCAGGATAGTAATCAAGTCTCATATACAGACTATCCTCTTTATCTTTCTCACTCCCATGGACATTACTTAACGTCCTTTTACTCAAACAAGGAATCTCAGCTCCATTAAATGTCACATTCCTATTGGTTATCATCTTAAATCCCTCATTTTCTCTAACTCAAAGTCTGTACCCTTTCACCCCTTTAGGATATCCCATGAATAAACATTTCTGGGACCTGGACTCCAATTTACCTAAACTTTGGTGAGAATAGGCCGCACATTCAAAAGTCTTCAAGACAGTATAATCAGCTAGTTTTCCTGACCATACTTCCTCAGGAGTCTTACCATCTAAAAAACTAGTGGAAGTTCTATTCACAATATACATAGCTGTCATAACAACCTCATCCCCAAAAAACTTTTGAAACACCTGAACTAATCATCATGCATCTCACCTTATCTAAAATGGTCATATTCATCATCTCAACAACACCGTTTTGCTTAGGGGTATAGGGAACAATCTTATCCCTAAGGATTTCATCATCTTTACAAAATTGATCTAATTCATATTACAAAATTTCATACCATTGTCTGTTATCAAAACTTTGATCTTTTTATCAACTTAATTTTCAATTAAAGTTTTCCAAGTTTTAAAATTTTCAAAAGTGTCAGATTTTTGTTTTAAAAGATAAATCCAAACTTTTCTTGAAAAATCATCAACCAGTAATAAAAAAATATTTATTTCCACATTGAGTTAGTAGATGATGGGCTCTACAAGTCAAAATGAATATATTCAAGGATAGATGCAGTTTTATGCTTTTCCATATTAAAATGAAGTCTATGCTGCTTACCTAAGGTACATTACTCACAGAAATGAACCTTAGAAATAATATCATTACCAAATGCCCACTTTTTCTTTCAAAATATGCATGCCTCTTTCACTAACATGTGCTAGTCTGTTATACCATTTCAGGGTGGCATCACTCTCAGCACTGGAGGACTCAGCAGTGTGACTCAGAACAACACTGACTCTAGTGACATATATACCATTTCTTTTGGTACCTTTGAAAATAACTAAAGAACACTTAATTACTTTCAAAGAACCATTTTGAATCATGATTTGCAGGCCTATGTCATCTAGATTACCCATTGAAATCAATTTCTATTCAAATCGGAACATACCTCACCCTTTCTAGAGTAAAGGTGTATCCATTTTCAAATTTCAAAGTCACACTACCAATTCTCTTAATCCTACAGGTAACATTGTTGCCCATAACTCTCACCATCAAGATCCTTATAGTCTTCTAACCAAGGTCTTCTAGAGGTCATATGGAAGGTGCACCCTGAATCCAGAATCCATTTTGATCATTATTATTAGCATAATTTGTAGTATTCAGATTAGTAATGGATTCTATCACAATATAAACATATGTTGTTCTATCCTCTAAGAGTTCAACTACATTCCTCTCATCAACTTTCTTCTCTCTCTGTTCATTCTTTTTTTTATAACAGTCTTCTATAAAGCGTCCAATCTTTCACACCCATAAAGCTTTATATTTTCACTTCTAGACTTTGATCTAAACCTCCCTTGCCTTTTCTTCTTAGAATTATTATTCCCTTGATGACTATGATTACCCTGACCATTCACTTGCCTAGTAATGGACCCATATCTCACAAATAAACTATCTGATTCCTTCCCAGTTTTATCAATTCTAAACTCTAATTCTTTACTTCTTAAAGAATTTATAACAATTTTGGTCAAGGTATCTCTGCCATATTTAATGGCAGACTTGACATCTCTATAAACCTTAGATATGGCATTCAGAAGAATAACAACCTTGTACTCATCAGAAACTTTGTCACCAGCATTAGTTATATCTTATACTAACTTATTAAAAGTGTCAAGATTATCATCTAAGTCTCTAAACAAATCAATCTTAAAGCTAAAAAATCTCTGTAGAAGGAAAAATTTATTAGGTAATGACTCAAGCCAAGTAAAGTTCTTCTGATTTGTCCTACAAAACTTTAGCATTATCAAGTTTTCTTACTTTTCTCAATACTTGATCAGACAAATGAAGAATAATAGAAGTATAGGCAAGTTCATCAGATTCAGTTCTTTGATCACGAGTCATAGTAGCAGGAAAATCACCAGTTATAGCCTTTGAAACTTTCTGTTGAACAAGGATTCCCTCATTTTTTGTTGCCAAATGGGAAAATCCCATTTTCAATTAAAAACTTCAGGTTCAAACGTAGTAGTCGTCATTCGAAGTTTTTAATCAACACAAGAAAAGGATTCGAAGTCAATGTTCAACAGAAAAACTGATATTTCAGAAAATAATTATGAAATATCATAAACTAATTCAGAAAAGACTAATAATCACAGTAAATGAATAAGTGACATTTAATGCATACAGACAAGGGAATCCTTCCAATTCCAATGTGTTCGAATTCACCAGGATTTTGTGATATTCGAGACCCTAGGTCAAGGTACAATTCTTAAACACAAGAAATAAGAAGGGGAAAAAATGGGAACAAGGGGAAACATCAGTAATATGAACAACAACAGAAGAGTTAGTAGAAATTTTAACCAAGAGTTTCGAGTAACACCCACAATGAACCCAAATGTTTCCTAAACAATCAACATAGAACTCACTATCAGAGTCCTTGTTACCAAGATTCAAACTAGTGTTCATAAACGAACCAAGATCTCCAAAGAAATCACTAACAAAAACAAGATCCGTCAAATATAGGATCTAGGGTTTCACCAATTGTCAAATCTATAAAGATCAGGTTGTTAAAATTGATTTTCTACAAACAGATCACGACCGAAGGAACACCAAGCCAACTAAAAGGCTCTGATGCCACTATTATATCTTGTAATGAAGCCAAACGAGCAAGAACTCAAATAGATCAACGAATATCGTTAGCATCAGGGACTAATATGATTTTGGGCTCAGAAATTTACATTGTACCCTTCTGTACAATAATGAAACAACCACAAAACTCAAACCCTAGAAGTGAACGAAAAACACAACCACTACAATCGGCACGAGATTAACACACAGATCTTGACCAAAAGCCCTTAAGCGAAGAATCACACAAACTCCAATAGCCCAGATTTACACCTAAAAACCAAAAGTTTTAGGTCTACACATAGTAGGAAAAACGAAGAGAATGAGAGAAGACGAACATAGAGAAAATGCTAAAAGCTTCTCGCAAAAACCAGATGAAAAACACTACTTAAAGCAACCACTCAGCCGGTATATATACAAGTCTCCATCACTGTGGATCTCAACAGTTAATCTAACGATACAGAGAAGCACAAATGTTATCTACATTGGGCTTGGGTTTGGGCTTGGATCAATATTGCGTTATCGGGTAATGGCCAATTAATTCTGGCAAGGCTTAGCCAAGTTTTCATTACAGCCTAATGGACTGGAATTGCTTAAATTTGGCATCACAGCCCATCATGAACTTTGCCTTTTCTTCACCCAAATAGGCTCTGAGCTTTTTTTGATAGTCTTTGTAGTACTCCACTTCCTTCTAAAATGGTAAAACATTCTGAAATTCAAATAGTGATAAATCTAAGATCGAATGCAACATACTTGGATCCATTTCTGTCTATGTTTTCGTAGCCAATCACTAAGCACGGTGAACGAGAAATGAGAAGAATTACAATAGGTTGACAGTCTGAATCCTAGGTGAACAAGAAAGGGTCGTTGTAGGTTAACAGTGTTGACCCTCTTTTAAAAAATGAACCAACAGAATGCCTACCAAGTCCTTTTCACGTGGACATCACCTGCACACTGAACATCCTGTTAGGAGGCAAAAGCTGCTGATCGAGAAAAAGGTCCGGTGACCGTTTGCACTCTGACGGTCAAGTCAACGGCCGGACAAAAGAAAGAGATAGTGCAAGAGAAGGAATAGGGATTTGAATAGGGTTAGAGAACGTACTTTAATTATGAAATGAATCACATATATATAGAAAATGTAAATGGCCACATGGGCCGGACCCAAGCTTAGGCCCAAAAATAGCCGACTTGATGAAATAGGTCTACTGTAATTAAAATCGATTTCACGTAATATATGGGTGTAACAATAGTCCCCCAAGTCTGAGTCGTACATTTATGTGCGTGTCGGACTTTGATATATAAATAGTCAAGTCGGCCAATATGGGATCATCTTTGTTGAGCGTATGCGACATAATTTATAAGTGTAACAACAGATCCCCAAGTCTAAGTCGTACATACATGTGCGGGTCGGACTTCGAAATACAAGTTGTCAGTAGATGAGGTCTTACAAATTGCTTCAAAAGTATAAGTAGCTCGGATAAGCGAGAACTTACGATCTGCCTTGAAAATATGCTTCGATTCCAATAGGTGAAGACTTACGAATTGCCTCGAGAAAATAAACCGCTCCACTGAAGACTTACACATTGCCTCAGAAAATGTGTGTGAGCCTGAATGAGCGAGGAGTTACGAATATTGCCTCAAAAGGTAGACACTGCATACAAGTTGTCAAAATTCCGGCAAAATCTCCTCTATAATATGGACTAAACCAACCTGTAATACAATATAATATCCCTGCCGCACATATAAAAAATAAATCGGGATCGATTTGCTCCTCAAATTACTCATGAAGATAAAGTGAATAATGAGATATCACATTTCTCCCAATATATAATATGAAAAAAAGCCTAGTATGTATCATAACAGGTCATATGCTGACACAATTTAGTGTAATACTAGTACTATAGTGAAACAAGTAACATGTTGATAACGTGACATAAGTATTGGCAATAGCGAAAAAAGTGTCATGACATGCTAGTAATGATGTGGTATGTGTACTTGACAACAATAATATAATACACATGCTAGCAATAATAATGTAATATTATTACGACCCTAAAAAATGAACCAACAGAATCCCTACCATGTCTCCTTCACGAGGACATCACCTGCATACTGAACACCCAGTTAGGATGCAAAAGCTGCTGATCGAGAAAAAGGTCCGGCGACAGTTTGCATTCCGACGATCAAGCCAACGGCCGGACGAAAGAAAGAGTGCAAGAGAAGGAATGGGGATTTGGATAGGGTTTGAAAACGTACCTTAATTATGAAATAAATTACATATATATAAGAAATGTAAATGAGCATGTGGGCATAATGGGCTGGACCCAAGCTTAGCTTAGACCAAAAAATATTCGACTTGATTAAATAGGTCCATTGTAATTAAATAGGCGATGCCACGTAATATATGAGTGTAACAATAGTCCCCCAAGTCTGAGTCGTACATTCATGTGCGGGTCGGACTTTGAAGTATAAATAGTCAAGTCGACCAATGTGGGATCATCTTTATCGAGCATTTGTGACGTAATTTATAGGTGTAACAAACAGTAAATGCAAAACTTTGTCAAATCTCAAGACATGAATCACTGCGAATATCTTGATTTGAAATTTATACTAACCATCTAACGTAACGTTTCTTCTTTACTTGTGAGATCGGCTACATGCGGGAAAAAAATAATGCTAGAAATAAGTAGCAACTAAAATGAAATTGGAGACTTATAATTACATCAAGGGAAAAATTCATTTATCCTACTTTATCTTTAGCCTATTTCAAAAATAACAAAACAACTTTCACATTTCAAAAATCAGATTTTTTGACCTATACATACACATATTTATTTATATATTTAAATATATAAAAAGATATATATATATATACACACACACACACACACACACACACACACACACTTACACATATACAATTAACCCACCCACCCCCACCTCCACCACCCCCCCATCGGTTTGGCGACCGGTCCGATGACTTTTTCGGCGACTGCTCCGGTGTCGATTTCGGCGACTGCTCCGGTGATCGTTCCCGTGACTACTCCGATTTCGGTGGCCGTTTCGAAGACTGCTCCGACTCAAGTCACAAGTCACAGTTTAGGTCACAACTCAGGTCACAAGTCACAGTCCAGGTCACAACTCAAGTCACAAGTCACAGTTCAGGTCACAAATCAGAATTTTGTTCATAATCACGACTTATTTTCAAATGATCACAGCACAGGTCAAAAATTTTATAGGTCACAATTTGTTTATCGACAGATAAAAAATTTTGCAGGTCACAGATTAATTTTTAGTCACGAATTATCGAATTTTAAGGTCACGGATAGTCCCTTATGCGGTCATAGTCTAATCTATGACCACCGTCAACAGTTGTGCCACCAATTCAACGCTGTATTTAACAACATCACCACCACCGTCCACCGCCCCACACACCAATGGCACCCATGCAACCACAAGATCCACCACCATCACCCACCTCCACCGCAGCTAGAAACCACGACAACCACAGCCAGATATACCAAAAAAATAGATACAAAACTTCCAACACCCCCACAACCACCATCACCACCACGGTGTGGCCACCCCTCCCACGCAGATCACGCCCACGTCCACACAAATCACACCCACCTCCACACAGAGCACACAGACCAGTGGCCGCTTTCTCGGAGGCTATGGCGACGATGCTCTTCGAAGATTCCAACAATTAGCAGCAGCGTCGCGAATTAGGGCAAAGTCGCGCGACGCTGCTGCAATCGAATTAGGGCAGCGTTGCCCTTAGATGCTGCCCAAACTAGGGAGCGACGCTGCTGCGACGCCGACATTAGCGTCATGCGATGCTCTTGCCCTAATTTGCAGCAGCGTCGCGACGCTGCTGCAAATTAGAGCAGCATCTAAGGGCGACGTGAATTAATGTGAGGACGGGAGGGATGGGGAGGAGAAGGAGAGGAGGAAGAAGGGAGGAAAGGACACCGCCGAAGGAGCCACCGCCGAGAGAGAGAGAGATAGGGAGGGTGACTGGTGAGAGATTTAGGAGTTTAAGTTGGGTTGGGTTGGGTTGGGGTGGGGTGGGATGGGGTGGGTATAAATTAATATTATTATTATTTAATTAAATATAAAAAATTGTATCTAATTAAAAAACTTCTGACTTTTGAAAAAAAAAAAAAGATGAAATCTGATTTTGGAACTTGAATCTCCAAAAGTAGGGGTGGGTGTAATTTTCACTTACATCAAAAGTCGAGTTATCATAACTAGTATCGGCAGAAGCAAAACAAACACCTTCAGCAAAATCTGAAATATTGTACATTGGATCTAAATAGGTAGGCGCAAATGATCTGAGACCAAATCCCTTAGAAATAAAATCTTTAGGA